GTCCTATTCCCCTTCCTAGGAAGTGCACGGGGCCCGCTCCTGGATTGGATTTTGACATAGTCCGAGACAACAATCACTTTATTGTCGGCCTAGCTTGTTCGGATCATTCCATTTTGTATGTCTGCGTTCATTGCACGGCTCAGATTTCGACGGGCTCACCGCTCAAATCGAACCTGTTTTTGAAACGATGCCCTGGCCCAGGGACCATGCACCCGTGGCAAAAATCCAAGTGGAAAAGACTGCTGCAGGGATTCCACCCCCAGCGCGACAAGTCTCAGGTTCGAGTATTTGTGGATGTTTTTTTTCCAGTGCCCCTCCCATTGGAGAAGCAACTCGTGGCGATGTGGATGTGCTCGGGTCAGTTGCTGCTTCAACGGGGGGGGCTCCCGACGCAGAGTTTGGCACTGTGCAGGTGGGCCTAGGCTCACACCCGCCTCCTGTGCGCGCGGTGGCCCCTGCAGGTGCTGATGATCTCCAGCAGCCACCTTCCGAGGCCGAGCCCCTCTTAGATGGTTTCGATGAGGAGGAGGTTACCGCACAGTTTTTATTGGACTCGCAGCCTGATAGAGTCGTGGAGTATTCGTCTTCGTCGTCTACCCTCGGTCCTGCTGTGAAGTCAAATGCCTTTTCACCCCCGAGCGGGGGTGATGCCTCTCGGGCTGCGTCCCGACAGGAGCGAGCTGTTTCGGCGGGTATGGACGACCTGGAGCCTATTGCTCCCGCTCGGTCGGCCTCCGCTACTTTTCAAGCGAAAGTTAACAGACTAGTCCGAGCTGCTGGTGGGTGTCCTGAGGTTTCTTCTTCCTCGGACTCGGACTAGCATGTTCTTCTTTCGCCTTGTACCCCTGACCCACGGGGTCGCTGGGGTCTTTTTTCTGGGCTGTTCGTTTGTCTTGGCCTAACAGGGGCCAGGACGAGCCTTCTGCCCTCTCGCTACAGGTCCCCGCGTCTGTAGCCTGTGCAGGTCGCCCTGCACGTAGGGGCCAGGTTTCGCTGTCGCCTGCCTCTGCTTTGGACGCCTGGCGTTCACCCTCGGCAGCTGGAGCTTTGCGGGCAAAAAAAAATCTTCCTTGTCGGCCCTTGACTGAAGCGCGAAGAAGTCTCGAGCGAGAGCGCCGTTCCTGAGTTCGGGGGCCTCTCTGGCCAGGGGCTCTCGGAATGCCTATGGAGACATATCGAACGGGAGCCCTTGTCGCCGTGTCCGGGCCTCCACCAACTTGCCTGAATTACAGGAAAGTCTCGAGCGAGAGCGCCGTTCCTGAGTTCGGGGGCCTTCTTGGCCAGGGGCTCTCGGAATAAATCGCGAGGAAGTGTCACGCAGGAGCCCTTTTCGTCGTGGCTGGGCCTCCACCGAGTGAATTGAATTGCGAGGAAGTCTCGAGCGAGAGCGCCGTTCCTGAGTTCGGGGGCCTTCTTGGCCAGGGGCGCGCGGGGTACATTGTGAGGCAGTATCGAGCGGGAGCTGTTGTTATCGTTGCTGGGCCCCCAAGGCCCACATTTAGGCTCAAGACAACGCTCGAGCGGGAGCCTCGTTTTCAGAGAAAATGTAGCCGGCGTTGAGGCAAGAGCGCGCGGAACCGTTTCCGGAGATCAGCAAGAACTTGTATTTAGGAATGCGTACTCAACCAGTTTAATACTGTTCGCTCTTAAGCGCCCGCGTGCCATTCGAAACGTATATCCCAAAATCTCGATACCCGCCCTCTTAGTCTTGGATCGTGCCCCCTTTTGGGTATATCTTCCTTACCTGCAACGTGTACTTCGTTCAGCCCCTGAGGCTGGGGAATAGAGGACGGATGGAAGGAAGGGACAAGGGGGAAGGAGGAGGATGGAGCACGAGAGAGAGTACCAAGACGGGGGCTAGGAACAGAAAGTACCAGGCACAACCAGACGGGCAGATCGTGCGGATAGACCTTGACGGGCGGGTCGGGAGGCCGGGCCCTGGCGGCCAGATCGAGCAGGCCGGTTGCTGAAGCGTGCGTCTTGCATGAATCGCAAGGAAGTCTCGAGCGATTGCACGATTCCCACGTAAATCGCAAGAGAGGCCAAAGCGAAAGCGTGATTCCTGAGTGTCGACGTCGCGGCGTCTGAATAGATTGCGAGAACATCCCACGCGACAGCGCGATTCCTGCATAAAGTGTGAGGAAGTCCTTCTCGAGAGCGCGATTCGGAAATACATTGTGAGGAAGTTTCAGGCGGGAGCCGCTGATGCTGTAAACCAGGGGCGACAGTCCAATTTTGAGACCCAAGATTTTCCTTGATCAATAAGGGTGCGAATCCCAGGAAGGGCACCTCAATTGAGAACACACTGTGCCCCAGAGGGGGGGATTGATCAAACGTTATAGGAAATATAATATACACATGAGAATTCAATAGCAATTACAAGAACATGGGCAACAACAACAGCAGCAGCAACAACAACAACAAAAACACTGACTTTAAGACTGCTCGTTCCTATCTGCTCGCGTGCCACTCAACACGTATATCCCGAACCTTTGGTACCCGCCCTCGTCAATGTCGATCGCACCCCCTTTTATGGGGTATATCTTCCTTACCTGCCACGCGCATGTAGCGCTGACCTTAAAACAGGGGCGGAGAGGACGGATGGAAAGGGGAGGGAACGGATGGAACACGAGAGAAATTTGCAGGAGGGGAGTAAGAGCAGAGAGCACGTGGCAGAACCAGAAGGGCAGATCCGGCGGGCAGACCCTAGCGGACGGGTCGGGAAGGCGGGCCCAAGCGGCCAGGTCGAGTAGGCGGGGTGCTGAAACGTGACTCTTGCATGAATCGCGAAGAAAGTTCGAGCGATAGCGCGGTTCCCAAGTAGATCGTGTGGAGGCCAAAGCGAGAGCGAGATTCTTGAGTGTCGAGGGCGCGGCGTCTGAATACAGTGCAAGGAAGTCCCACGCGAAAGCGCGACTCTTGCACAACTGGTGAGGAAGTCCCGCGCGAGAGCGCGATATCTTAATACATTGTGAGGAAGTATCCGGCGGGAGCCGCTGTCGTTGTAAATCGGGGGCCAGGGCCACAGTTTGAGCAGGAAGGCTTTCCCTGAGAAAATCAGGATGTCAGCCCCGAGGGGGTTTTTGAGTTGAAAAACACAATGTGCACCACTTGGAGGATCAACAACTCTTGTTTTGAAAAGTGAGAGTTCAACAACAGCAACAACAGTAACGCTAACAGTGACAAGAGCAAAGGCAATAACAACAGCAACAGCAACACCAATCAGTTCAAGGCTGTTCGCTCCTATCTGTTAACGTGTCACTCAACACGTATATCCCGACCCCTCGGTACCCGCGTTTTTCGTCTTCGATCGTATCCCTTCAGGGGTATGCCTTCCTTACCTGCCACGCGCATGTAGCGCAGCTCTTGAAGCAGGGGAAGACAGAACGGAGGGGGGGGGGAGGCAGAAGGATGGAGCACGAGAGAGATTTGCGGGAGGGGGGCCAAGAGTAGAGACCCCGTGGCAGAGCTTCTCGTGCAGACTCTGGCGGGCGGGCCGGGTTGGCGGGCCAGGCGGCAAGGTCGAGCAGGCGGGAATGTTGGAGCGTGAGTCTTGCTTGCATCGCGAGGAGAGCACGAGCGAAAGCACGATTCCCATGTAAATCGTCAGACGGGACCGCTCGAGCGCGCGTGTGGACTGCCGCTGCCGCGCTGCGACGTGGCGAATAGATATTGAGAAAGACCAGAGCCATAGCACGATTCCTGCATGAATTGAGCAAAAAAAGCGCGAGGGCGTCAGGCAGGAACTATCAGTCAGGAACCGTTGTAGTTGCAGCTCGGGGGCCACGTGTATAATTTGAGCAGGAAGGCTTTTTTTATCTAACAGGGTACAAGCCCCGAGGGGGGCACTTCGATTGAGAGACATAATGTGCACCAGTGATGGGGGATCTAGAATAATTATTCTTCAAGGAGGATATTCCAACAACAGCAACAACAATCATTTTAAGGCTGTTCGTTCCTATCTGCTCACGTGCCAACCAATACGTATATCCCAAACTATCGGTACCCGCCTTCGTCGTCTTCGATCGTACCCCATTGGGGGCATGTCTTCCCTACCTGCCACGCGGCTTCAGTGCAGCCCCTAAAACAGGGGAAAAAGGGACGGGTAAATGGGGGAGGGAGAAGAGTGGAGCATGAGAGAAATTTGCAGGAGGGGGCAAGGAGCAGAAAACAAACGGTAAAACCAGACGGGCTGATCGGGTGGGCAGACCCATAGCGGGCAGGTCGGGAAGGCGGGCCCAGGCGACCAGGTCGAGCGGGCGGGTTGTTGAAGCGTGGGTCCTGCATGAATCGCGAAAACATTTCGAGCGACAGCGCGGTTCACAAGTATATCGTGAGAAAGCCCAAAGCGAGAGCGTGATTCCTGAACGCCGAGGGCGCATCGTCTGAATCAATTGCAAGGAAGTCCTGCTCGAGAGCACGATGTTTCAATACATTGCGAGGAAGTATCAGGCGGGAACAGTTGTTGTTGTAGCTCGGGGGTCAGGGGCGCAGTTCGAGCAGGAACACTTTGGGAAGATGACAGAGGAAACTCTTTGAACCACTCACGCCCAGAGGGCCAGTGGTATTCTTGCAGGGACCTACGAAGAGGGAACTTGGAGGGAGATTATTGCAATATCGTTGATGAGTCTTGCGTTTGCACTGGTCCCTAATCTCTCCTCCCTCATCATCCTCCCTCCTCCCTCTCCCCATCATCCCTCCTCCTCCCTCCTCCCTCCTTCTCCTCCCTCCTCTTCCCTCCTCCCTCCTCCCTCCTTTTCCTGCCTCCTCCTGCTCCTGCTCCTGCTCCTCCTCCTCCTCCTCCTCCCCCTCCTCCTCCCCCTCCTCCTCCTCCTCCTCCTCCTCCTCCATCCGTCCTCGGTCCTCCTCCTCCTCCTCCCCCTTCTCCTCCTCCTCCTCCTCCTGCTCCTCCTCCTCCTCCCCCTCCTCCTCATTCTCCCCCCCCGAGGGCGAGGGGGAGGGCCAGGGGGCGGACGACACCTGCTTCCTCCTCCGTTCAGGCAAGGCACCCCTCCCACCGCGTCGCCGTTCTGGACATCCGCGCGGACGCCGCCGCGCTGGAACGGCGGCACCGGGAGGCGCCCACCGTGGGGGCTGGGCGGCGCGGTCGGATCGGGCGGTTGGGCCCCCCTCCGCAGACCCCAGGGTGAGCCTCCTCCTCCTCCTCCTCCTCCTCCTCCTCCTCCTCCTCCTCCCCCATCCGTCCTCGGTCCTCCTCCTCCTCGATCGTCCTCCAGGCCCCAGGGGAAGTCGGGCGGGTGGTGCTGGGGGGGTGACCTAAATGTGGCGTGAAGAAGAAGGGCCCCACAGGGGCCCTCGATGGACCCCTTTGGAGCCAGCAGGGGCCCCGAAGGGGCCCCTTTGAGACCCTTCTCTTCACCCCCCAGTCAGGTCACCCCCCACTGCCGCCCGCCCGAGAGACGTAAGACTCGAGTGCGCCGGAACGCGGGTTTGCCGACGCTTTTGGACGGGCCCTGGATTTTGACGGTCCCGTTTTTGCGGGGTGTTTGCAGCAGGAGCTCGCGTCAAGTTTCAGGTTGGCCTCGTCATTTTCATGACGGACCGCAGGACCCGTCGGGCCAGCCCGAGTCCCCCGAACCCGAGTCTTACGTCTCCCCGATCGGAGCAGGTCAGGTCGTGATGTGAGCGACGCAGATCAACGGGGTCGTCTTCACCGACATTGGAGCGCAAGCTGCCCGCGTAAGGTCGCGCGTAAGCGCCCTCGTTTCCAGTATAGCGTGGCGCGCTGGTGGCTCACATAAGCTACCGCGTAAGGTTGCTCTGTCATCTCGCGGAGGATCAGTCTCTTTTCGTCGCCCATTTGGTTCCAAACGGGACCCCATGGAGAGAGGCTTCTGAGACGGGCGATGCCGATTTCTCAAGTCCGCTCGGTTTCGCCCGCAAGGTCGTCTCATGACGCTTTCACTCGCACTTCGAAGTCTCAAATGGAATGCCGCGGTCTCAGAAGTCCCTTTCGCCGGCATCCGTTTAAGAGACACGTCCAGTCGGAGCCAGGGTGGTTTCTTGGCGGTGCGCCGAGGGGGCAAGTAAGAGGAGCCTGTAGGAAGCTCCACCAAGTTGGAGCCGTCTGGGGGTGTGCGGTGGCCCAGCACTGGTTCTGGCCAACGAAAAGGGCGGGCAGGTTTGGGGTTCTGGGTTTGGGAAGGTGTTTCATCCTCTTCGTTCTCGGGCCCCAGGACCGTGAAAAACGGATCCGGGGTTGAAAAAGTGCACCGGGTGGACCCGGGGAGGGGTCCTGGGCCAGTTCAGATCCCCCGGCCGCCTCCAAGGGGGAGTTCCACCACCGGTCTCAGTGGGGGGGGGGGGGCCGCATGCTGCCTCGCGCCCATGGCGGCTGTCGCGCATCCTGCCACCACAGGGGGCCTCGCGTGGCGCCTCAAGGGAGGTGTTCGCATGTCGCCCCCAGCTCATTTCGGCACCCATCAGACGTTTCGTGTTCCACACGGAGCTCCACACACGGCCCCACTGACCACGCGCCTGCAGCCTCATCCCTGTTTGGGCGACGAAAAACGGGCCCAACTGCGCCGACATTGGCGCGTAAGCTTCCCGCGTAAGGTCGCGCGTAAGCGCGCGCCCTCGTCTCCAATGTGGCGTTCCGCGCTGGCGGCCCGCGTAAGCCGCCGCGTAAGGTCGCTATGCCATCTCGCGTAAGACCCGTTTCTGATAGTAGCGCCCCCAGGCCCAAGGGCTTCTATTTACAGGGGCCCGAGCTCCGTGCATCCTGCGGCGCGTGGTATGTGCGGAGATGGCCACGCCCTGCTCTACACGCAGGTGCACAGGGTTGGGCCTTTCGCCGGATTGCTCTCCCAAACAGTGCTCGTATCAAGGGGCTCTTATTCCCAAACAGTGTTTGCACTAAGGGGCTTCTTCTTACTTCTTTTCTTCTAAGGACTGGGGCCTGCGGGCCGGGCAGGCGGCTCCGTGCTCGCCGTCGCTGCCCCGTCGCCCCGTCGCCCCGTCCCGAACGGTGCTCGTACTGGGGGGGCTCTTAAGTTCTGATCCTTGCGCACGTGGTTAGGCACGATGAGGTTTCTCCTGGTGGGCGGCCGTGGACGCACCCTCGGGCGCCCCGTGCGCTGGCGGGGTCTGCCGAGGTTTCGCCTGCGCGCCTCGCGGGCGGCGCCCCGTGTGCTGGGCGGGTCTGCCGAGGTTTTGGCCCTGTGATCTGCCGTGGGCGCCTCGTGGGCGTGCGCTTGCCATGCGCTTGCCAGGTCTGCCGATCATTTCGCCTGGTGGGCGGCCGCGGGCGCCTGCGCATTGCTTGCGTTACGGTGCAGAGCTTCCACCGTTTTGCTTACTCCACGTAGCTTGCACCACGCGCCTTTCACCACGTGACGTTCACCACGTCGCTTACACCACGTGGCTTACATCGCACATGGCTTGCACTACGCACAGCTTGCGCCACAGTGCTTTCTGACTCCACATAGCCTGCACCACACATAGCTTGCACCACAGTGCTTGCCACGCGCAGAACTTTCACACCACACAGCGTGCACCACACAGCTCGCACACCCAGAGTACACGAGCTCACTGTTTGGGGTCCACGGTGGCAATACATTGTTTTCGGGAAGTGTGACTCTTGTTAAGGAGGCCTTACGGCCAGTGCCGCCGATGCTTTTTAGGTGGGCCTCCTGCTGCCTGTTAGTCAGGAGGGAATCACAGACACATAATATTAGCCCCGCGACTCATGTCTGACCCCCCCAACCCACTGGCCTGATATCTTTTCTTCTTTCCGCGGGGGGTCAACTTTCGCGGCGACCCGTTAAACCCGGGACCCTTGGCGGCGCATGGAGTTCTTTCCTTCTTCCGCGCGCGAGTTGCTATGGGAACCCCTGAACCCCTCCGACTACCGTACAACTAGTACTTGAGTACGACTGGTACTATCATGTACTAGCGCGCAGTTGATTCTAGAGAGCACATTGCCCTGCCGTGCAAGTGTTAGAGCGCCGTGCAAATATTATTTTGCCAGTACAACTCCTTGGCGCAACTTCGTAGTGCAACTCCCTAGTACACTGCCCTAGTACAACTCCCTGGAACAAGTGGTACTAGTACAACTCCCTAGTGCAACTGCCTAGTACAACCCCCTAGTATTAGTACAACTCCCTAGTGCATCGCCCTAGTACAGCTCCCCTGTGCACCCCCCTAGTGCAATTCCATAGTGCAACTCCCTGTGCAACTCCCTAGTACTAGTCAAACTCCCTGGTACAACTCCCAGTCGGACTCAGTGGTACAACTCCCTATTACTAGCACAACTCCCTAGTGCTACCACTATTCGAGTGTTGCTGCATTGTACTTGCAATCTGGGCTCTCACGCTTTTCCTCCTCTGGTTGCGCTGGGGGTGGGTGGGACCCCTCGCGCGGGCACCCCCGCCCCCGCGGCTGAGAATTCATTCCTCTTCCAGAATTTGAGGCGGGGGTAACCCCGTGCTCGAACCCCTCGCCAGGGATTTTTTCTTCCCTCCGCGGAAACCAGACTCCCTCGATTCTTGGGCGCGCCCCAGAAGTTCTTCCCTTCCGGATGGGCCCCCATGGGTCCTTCGTTGGAGTCGCCCCCCTCGGTTCTTGGGCGCGCCCCAGAAGGTCTTTCCTTCCGGATGGGCCCCCATGGGTCCTTCGTTGGAGTCGCGGGGCTGATCACATAATTGTCGACTCCCTGGGAAGTATGGAAAATATGGGAAGTGGAGGAGATGACGACCGTCCAGAAACTACAAGAAATATGGGGAATCCTGGGATTCTTGTCTATGTCTCCAGCTGCCTGCGGCGAATCCCACCACCGCGCCAGCCCAACATGTTGGGTTTCGACCCTTCGATAGGGCACGGTTTCTATGTCATGTGTGACATTTCAGCCCATTTGAGGATTCGTTTGGGGCCTCTTGCGGGGTTCTTTGGGCTGTCAGTCAAGGTGCTTTGACCCGTGGGCTTTTGTGACCCGTGGCGTTTATTTGGTGCCAATGGCTTGTCCTGAGCACTTGAGAGGCCGTCTTGGGATTCCCTTGGGACCCTCTTCGGCTGTCTTGAGGCTCTCTTGGGCTGTTTTGGGCTCTCTTGGGGCCTTCGTGACCATCTTGGGAGCCTCTTTGGATTATCATGGGGCCGTCTTGGACCGTCCAGGGATCCTCTTAGGCCGTCTTGGGTCTCTCTTGAGGGCCTTTAGGGCCAACTTGAAGCCCTCTTCAGACTGTCCTGGGCAATCCAGAGGCCGTCTTGAGCTGCCTGAAGGCCGTCTTGGAGACCTCTTTGGGCTATATTGAGGCTCCCTTGGGGCGTCGTGGGGCCACCTTGGAGGCCTCTTGGGCCGTCGAGCCGACAGAAGGTTGAAAAGGCAAGGATGCGAAAACAATCAAAAACAGATGGGACATCTACAACTTCGGCCTCTTCAGGCCTTGCTGGAGGCTCTCTGGGAGCACTCTTGGCCCGTCTTGGAGGCCTCTGGTGCCGTCCCGAGGCCATCTTGGGTCATCTGGGAGCCATCTTCGTCCGTCTTGGAGGCATCTTGGGACTCTTGGCGGCTGTGGAGGTCCGTTTGGGAAGCCATATTGGGCATCGTGGACGCATTGGAGAGCGCCAGGAACGTGTCTGGGCGCCGAGAGAGCGTCTGGAAGAGGGGGCGATGCACGCAACTCTACGCGACCCGGGAGGGGGGGGCCCTTTGAAGATTACAGAAACCCTGCCAGACAGCAATTGACCTCTAGCACGCCTCAACGTACTAGGGGGCACGTTGGCGGATGACGGGAAGCGCCTCTGACGTGGACCGTTTTTGTGATTTTTCTTTGATGTTCCTTTACTAATGGCTCCCGGCCGCACTTGGGAACTAGCTGGCGGATGACGGAAAGCGCGCTTAGACTCGAAGAGTCGGGCGATGGACGTTGTTTATGGGCCCGGAGGGGAATCAATTAGGGTGGGAGTGGTGGCAGGGTGGCGTCGCGGCCCCGACGTGGCGGATGACGGGAAGCGCGCTTAGACTCGAAGAGTCGCGCGATGGACGTTGTTTATGGGCCTTGAGGGGAATGTATTCATCAAGAGTGAGGGGGTCCAGAGGGGGGAGCGGTGGCGGGGTGGCGTCACGGCCCCGACGTGGCGGATGACGGGAAGCGTGCTTAGATTCGAAGAGTCGCGCGATGGACGTTGCTTCTCGGCCCAGAGGGAAATAGATTCATCAAGTGGGGGAGATCCAGGGGGGGAGTAGTGGCGGGATCGCGTCGTGGCCCCGACGTGGCGGATGACGGGAAGCGCGCTTAGACCTCCCACGGACGCCCCCGTTTCAGTCAGAACGTGTTTGCTGGGCACACTCACCTTTGAACGGGTGGGCGGAATAATCGACCGCCAACGCCAGCTGCTGACTGACCTGGCGTGTCTCTGTGCGGCCTTTCCGCCAGAAATGAAGTGCGAGCCTGTTCTCTTGGTGTCGCTAACCCCCGAACTCGACGTGTGGGACCCCGAATCGAACGGCTCTAATGGGATCCAAAAGACGCCCCGGAGGGCCCCAGGACCCTGAGAGACCCGCAAGAGCGCTCCAGGAGGCACCCAGACAGCTCACAAGAACCCCAAGACGGCCCAAGACGTGCCAAGAGGGCCCCAAGAGACTCCCCGGAACGCCCCTGAAGGGCGCCCAAACGGCCCAAGGAAGCCCCAAGACGGCCCAAGATGGCGCCGAGACGGCCCAAGAAAGCTCCCAAAGAACCCCACGACGCGCCCAGACACCCCAAGAAGACCCCAGACGCCCACAAGAGATCACAAGAGGACCCAAGAGCTTCCCAAGAAGCCCCCAACAGGTCCCAAGACAACCCCGCACGGTGCCAGGAGCCCCCAGGGTAGCCCGATAGGGTCACCAGGACCCTCTGCTGATTCAACATCCTTCTCCAATTGCCTCTTACTGTCCTCCGTCGTCGTCGTCGTCGTCGTCGTCGTCGTCGTCGTCATCGTCCTCTGCATTCTTCCTCGTACTCGCCCTCGTTCTCTGTGTCCTCGTCCTTGTGTTTCTCTTCATCCTGGTCCGCATGCTCCTCGCTATCCTATCCTCACGTTCTCCACGTCGTCCTCGTCATCGCCTCCTCGTCGCCCTCGCCTTCCAGTTCTTCTTCTTCTTCTTCTTCGCCCACTGAGCGCATTGGACTAAAGCGGTGCTTCCAGTTCTTGTCCGATTAGGCTTGTGTGTCCTTGGGCCCCTTTAGTTGGGGCGAAGTGCGCGTGTGGGAGATTCGGGGAACTTCTGGGCGTCTCTCGTGGGCCTTCTGGGACCTCTTGTTCGGGCCTCTCGGGCGCCTCTCCCTCGTCAGGGCTGTCAGGGCCCTGATGGGGCATCGTGGTGGTTTGTATAGCTCGCTCTCTTGGCCCGTTTTGGAGGTCATTCTGGGCACCCTCCTGGAGGCGTTGGGTATTTTTTTGACGGCGTGGTGATGGCGGGGGAGGCTCGGGAGGGTGCTTGCGCTCGCAGCTCGATGCGATGAAGACTTGGGGGGGGGGCTTGTTGTAGAAAGCAACATACTTCCAGCTGCAAAGCACAGATATAATAATACGCCCCAGCTCTTCTTACAGCGGCCCTCTTTCGATATGAGTTTGCAGATCTTGTCGCGTTGCCATCACAATCAGGACGAGTGTTGTACGATTGCGTATGTTTCATCCTTCTTATTTTTTACGATCGTGCAGAAGAAACCAATAATGGCTTACAGAGCCTGCTGCCTGAGATGCTGGAAGGGAGGGGGATGCCAGGGAGGAGGGGTTGAGCACGCTGCGCGGTGTCTCCGAAGGGCGGGGGCAAGCGGCCCGCTTCCCTGGCGGTCCTTCTCCTGTGCTGCGTCGGATGGGAAGGAGGAGGAGGTGGAGGAGGTGGAGGAGGTGGAGGTGAGGGTGCTGGGGGAGATGGAGGTGGAGGAGGTGGGGGAAGTGGAGAGGTGGAAAGGAGGAGGAGGCGGAGGCGGTGGAGGAGGTGGAGGTGGAGGAGTTGGGGGATGTGGGATGGGGAAGGGTAGATCGGTGCGCCCTCTGGTTGTTTTGATCGCAGGGCCAGTGCGGCCGCGGGCGCACTGCGGACGGCGGCATCTGAAGCGCGGAGGGAAGGGGAGGGAGAAGCAGCAGGGAGGAAGGAAAATGAGGAGAGGAGGGGGGGAGGGGCGAGAGGAGGGGGGCAACTAGTAGAGGGAGGCAGGCATGAGCACCCGCGTCGGTTCCCTCAAGGCGTTGCGGGATACAGGGCGCGGCACGCCGGAGACCGTGGGGATCTTAGCAAGGCGTGGGTCAAAGTCTCGAAGACGGTCGCTTGTGCCTCGCCTCCCCACCTGCGTACCCTTTCCAGCACAACAGCCCCCCATCCAACTCCCCTTCCTCTGAAAGGCGGGCGGGGACGAACAGGGCAACCACAGGTGGCGAGCTTCTCTCGCAGCGCGAATCGCAAAGGTACCCGAGCTAGCTTCAGTCCGAGGTCATATGCACTCTCGTTTCTGCTCCTTCTCTTCCCTTCCTCTCCCCCGCCCCCTCCCCCCCTCTCTCCCTCCCGCCCCCCGTCGCCTTCCAAGGATCAGAGGGCATGTCGAGCAATGGAAGGGCAGCGTTTGGAGGCTGCCCCATGGACGCGGTTGCCCCACCTTGTCGTTCTCGCCAGGGCGCTGGCCGACCAGCTCAGTCGATCAGTTATCAATTGGGATAGCGGCGCTGTGTTTGCACCTCGCCCCTGTGCGGCCTTCGCCTCTCCACTAGTGCTCATGCACTCGGGAACGGCGCTGGACCCAGCGAGCCAGGGGCGGCGCCGGAGGCGCCGCTGGGGGCTCGAGCTTGGGGAGACGGATGGCCAAGAGCCTCGTGGGAGCCCTGCCAATGGTGGTGGGGTCCTGGTCCTGGTGGGTGCAACGATGGGGCCGCCATAGGAGCCGGCATGGGGTCCCAATGGAAGCTCGAGGGGGCTCGTGGTCGCCATGCTGCTGGTTGTGGGTGTTCGAGCCAACCAGAGGTAGCAGCGGTAACGTGGCAGCCGAGTAAGTATATTATAGTATATTTGTGACCAGAAGAGCTGATTTCCTATATCCAATTGTAGTGACTGTATCAGAGCGTGAATTACCTACTCCGCTTTCGCTTCCAGGCAAAACCAAGCCATACCACGCGCCTCCTCGTCAAGCGGCCTGACCAGTATAGGCTGCAATTTGGCATCGTTTGGTATATCTTGGAAGCGAGGGTGGTCAAAAGCGAGGTAGGTTTGTTTTTTCCCTACTGTAGTGGCGTAGCCCATGGAATCCCCTTGTACCACTCGCGGGTGCGAAGCGGGGGGGGGCCCTTCGTGCCATCTGGCAGCACGCCAAGTTTCGCAAGGCCACCCCCTGTGTTCCACACGCGCCGTGCAAGGATATGTGAGGCCCAGAGTTGCATAGTATCCTGGTTGGTGATGTCGCCCAGTTGTGCATGGATGGCTATGTCCACGCTCAGAAGAATGATATAATGATGTGCTGTGTGTCGTTCGTCCTCGATCCATGTTCGTGTGTCACCGGCCCTACGCTTTCCTGAAACAGGTTCGAGTACAAGGATCTCCATGCGGTGCGCTTTCCTTGGCAGCATGTCGGCAGCTGGCTGCTGGTAATCACGAGTGCGAAATTTATGGAATCGGTCTGCGAACTGCGCTGTTGGCTGGTCGGGAGTTGCTTCGCCCTCTTGTACCAAGAAAGCTCGAAAGCGTGGCAAGGTATCTGGATCGCAAGCGCACTCTGCTTCTTGCAGCAAATCCCTAGCTCCGTAATCGTCGAAATGCGAGAAGGCGAGCATGGATGCTGGATACCCTTGCTCTGGCAAACTGACGTGTGCTGGGTACGCTGCTCTCCACTGACCTTGTTTCAAAAGCTTATGTTTTCTACGTGCCGTCATGGATGTCCTATTGGGCGTGTTGTTTGGCGTGGTCTGGTTCTGGTGCTGCACCGTGCATGTGATATGCAAGGCTGCGTCTCGGCGAGGCGAAGTTGAGATGATCTCTCAAGAACCTTCGTCCTAAACACTGCACCGAACATGCCATGTACGTAGATCCCTCCACCATCAGCCGTTCCACCATGTGCACTGCATTGTAATGCACACGCACGATCTGCCGTCGTAACCCTTTCTTGCTTTGACCCTGCACATCACACCACATACATTTGAGGTCTGGCTGAGGTGAAGGATCCGTGACTGGTGGAGGGATCCGTGACTGGTGAAGATAGGGTGGTCGGGATCCGTGACTGGTGGAGGGAAGCCTGCAGGCCGAACAAGCCGACAAAGCTGGTCCTGAGCATGCTGTGTCAGGGCAATCCGCCCCTTGGCTGCTGTCTCGGCTGCGAGCGTGCGTTGACCGATCCACGCCACTTGGTCAGAGACCCAGAGACTATCCCCAAGTCTTCGAACTCGGAGACAGGGTCGGGAAACTCACGATAAGCACAGTAAACGGAGCGAAGCCAAAGCAGACCTTGGAGAACCCGCTGGAGCCAGAAGTCCTTCGCGACCGAGGCCGATCTGAAAGCGCGAGCAACTAAGCTCCGCAGCGCGGGAGTCCCGTGGTGTAGGAGTCCTTCCGGGAGCCGGAGCCGGCGAGCCCGTAGAACAGCTGTTAGATCGGCCCGTCGAGCGAGAGCCAGTACGAAGGCGTTGTTCTTTGGATGGTCATCGCAGTGGTAAACGCTCTTTCGTTTTAAACATTATTATAATCGGTCCTTGTGGTCGGTCCTTGTGGTCAAACGTGGTCGGGACATCACCTCGACACGCATGTGGTCAAACGTGTGACGGCCCGTCTTGAGGCCTTCCCTCTTGAAGACGGAGCGTTGGGGGGCCTTCTCGGAGCTCTCTTGGGCTCGTTGGGACCTCTTGCGACTCCTTCCAGCCACCTTGGAGTCCCGCGGGGGGCTCTAGAAACCCGGTTTCAAGGGTCGTAGGGCCTTCTGAGGGGATCCTGGGGCAGTATTACGGTAGTCTTTGGCCGAGTTGAGGTCGTTTTGGAGGCCAGGTTGGAACTTTTGGAGCCTCTTGGGCCACATCGGAAGCCTCTTAGAGCCCAGTTTGGAGCCATTTGCAGCCAAAATGTTAGCAAGGGAGGGAATATTCAATGACCGCACGATTGTTGATGACTTTCGCTCGGCGGCCCTTCGCAGAGCCATCTTGCAGCCTCTTGGGGCCATCTTGGTGGGGCCATACCAGAGCCAACCTTGGATCTTGGCATCGCTCGGACGTGTGCATTTTTTCAGCAAGGACCATCGAGGAGCATCTGGGCTCATCCTCCGAGACAAAACGAAGAATAACGCACGAGACCGACAAGTGCACGGGGAGTGTACGGGCGAGCGATGGCGAGGGCCGTTCCAGGCCATCCTGGGGCCGTTGGGGGACATCTTGAGTCAAGGGCGCCCTCGAGGGCGCGAAGTTATTCGCGCTTCGCACTTCGTGGTTCAGCTCCGATTCCTCCTCATCCTCCTCTTCTCCCCTGGGAGGCGGCGCGAGAGCGCGAAGTTATTCGCACTTCGCGCTTCGCGCAGCGCGAAGCGCGAAGTTGGGAGCCCTTGTTCCAGGCCATCTTGGCTCCCTTTGATGCCGTCGGGGGACGTCTTGAGCTGTGTCGGTGCCATCCTGAAGCCCTTTGGTGCCCTCGGCGGGGCCGAGGCGCCCAGACCACGGCCCGAACGGGGCCCCGGAGGGGTGCCGGGAGCGCTGCGCGGGCGTCGTTGTGACCAGGCGGGGGGGTCGGTCCGCGAGAGCGGTAGAGACTCCTCCACGGTAAAGCTCGGCCATCTAGCACGCACTGCGCGCCGCAGGCGCCGTGGCGGATTCGCCGCTGGCAGGTGCAGAAAGTGTGCAAGATGAGCAGAGGAAGGTGTGATAAAGCCATGCGAGTTGAACGCGCTGCTTTTAGTTAGGGCCCGGGCTGGGACTGGCAGGCTCGGCAGGCCCAGGCGTGAAGCCCGTTGCCTTTTGGCCGCGCTGAGGGCCAGGGTGCCCAGCCAGACCCTTCCCAAGGCTAAGTTAGTCTCTGTCAGAAGGGGGGAGTCAGTTTGGATGTTCGTGGGCCCCCCCCTGGCCCGTCAGATGGCCAAGAGACCGTCGCTGGTGGCGGATACGCGCCAGGTTCGGGAGCTCCAGGCTGCCGCCTCCCCGTCCCCGCTGCTTCGCTGGGCCTGGTCCTCCCTCGCCCGCCCTTCTCCAGTCCCCTTCCCTTCCGCCTCGTGGAATCGCTCGGGCCTTTGCAGTTTTTATCGGCGGGGACCATCAGGGAGCATCTTGGCTCACCTTGCGGGGGAAAGACAACGCATAAGACCGAATCATGCACGGGGACTGAGCGTCCGAGCGCTGGCAAGACTTCCTCACCCGTTCCTCCATCTTCCCCGTCCTCCCCACACTTCCCCGCCCCATCCGGCCCGCGTCCTCTCATGCGTCTGTACCACCAGCGGTGCACTACCTGCGGTGGGCCAGTGTATCTGATGGCCTTCGGCCCATCCCGCCAGCGTGCCTGGGTTGTGGGTATGAAGCCTATTTGATGTTCGTTGGGATCTGGTAGGAGGCTTCTCGGGGGCCTCTTGAAGGCAGTTTGGACACCTCTTGGGGGCCGTTTGGGAACCTCTTGGGGCCTCTTTTGGGTCTCCTGGGGACATCTTGCCTCGTGGGGGCCTATTGGGGCTTCCTGGGCGCCTCTTGGGGGCCTCTTGGGGCGGAAGGCACGGATGTTCGGTTCGTGCTCCTTCTTTGGAGCCCTTTTCGGGGCCATCTTGGGGCCATCTCGGGCCGTTTTGGGCGCCTCTTGGGTTGTCTTGGGGCCCTCCTGGACCGTCTTGGAGCGGTTTGGGAGGCTTCTTGTGCCGCCTTGGGGCGGTCTTGGGGGCCTCTAGGGCCGTCTGGGAGCGTCGGGAAGCCGAAAAGGCGAGAACGCCAACATCCTACACAAACATGAGGAACATCTATGAGTTTGGCCTCTTGGGGGCCTCTTTGGAGGCTTCTTCGGGCGTCTCGGAGGACTCTTGGGCCGTCTGGGGGCCGTCTTGGGCATCTTGGAGCGATCGTTTGGCGACTCGGTGCCCTCTTGGACCGTCTTGGGGGCGTCTGAGGGCTCTCTGCATCCTTGATGGAGCCCTCGTGGGCCAGAACAAATCACGTGCCACCACGCCTGGAATCCCAGGGGGCACGCGCCAAGCCTGATGAGATTTGAGAATTTGGGATCCTGGCCCCTGCGAGGCTCCTCAGGACCGAGGACTGAGCCTCAAGGGATTGGGCAAAGGACCTGAGGACATGCTCACTCCGTGCCTGGAGGCATGGTGACGGATAAAGTGCCTTCATCTCCGTCACCCCCATCACCGTTATCGCACCCCTCATTCATTACATTCCTTCCTGCCAGGCGATGGCTACTTCAGCTTCGACTCCCTCCCCACCTCACCCCTCTCGCCTGTAGAGGCTCAGGTGTTAGGCCCGACGCAGTCTAGGTAGCCGAAATCGTATTACCGTTTGCCGCTTTGGCCACCTGCCGATCTTAGGTTTTAGGCTCCCAGGTTTATGTCTTCTCACTCATGTGGCCCATGTGGCGAAGGCAAAGTTGTTCCCGCTGCGAGGGCACAGCGCCCTGGTGCATCTTTGGTGCCCGCGCGGTTATCCTGCGTGCGCGTAGGGGCGCGGGGGCAAGTGCCCATGTGCGCCATGTTATTTTTCAGCGGGAATTGGCCAGTCACTCCCTCCTCCACCTCCTCCTCCTTGCCCCTCCTTCCTCCTGTCTTGTCTGCCTGATCATGTCGCTGCGTATCCCACTGCTGAACTGCATCCCACTTTCAGTTCAGTTGTAGCCGAACTTTAGCCGACTTCGAGCCCACTTTTAGCCCACTTCTAGCCAATTTCTAGCCCACTTGTAGCAAACTTTTGGACCACTTTTGGCCCACTGCTAGCCCGCTTTTAGCCCACATTCAGTCCACGTTTTTTTGCCAACGCGCGCCCAGTCTTTCAGTTGCGCGCCCCAGAGGCCCGCCGGGAATGCGAAAACGACGAACGGAAATGCATCCGCGGTGGCGACATTACACAATCAATAGAAGCACTACAAATTCTCGGGCGTCCGGACATAGGAAAACGTCGACCTGGCTCATGAGTTCGCAGGACGAGGATGCGGAAATTCGCCGGAGCATTGAGCCTCCCATTTCTAGCCCACTTTAGCCCACTTTTAGCCCAGATTTAGCCTGGTCGTAGACGTCGCGAGGCGAGTACGAAGGAGGAGCAGGAGGAAGAGGAAGAATAGGATGAGGAGAGGAGGAGGAGGAGGACGAGGAGGAGGAGAGGAGGAGGAGGAGGAAGAGGAGGAGGAGGAGGCGGGAGAGCTGCCCGCGACAAGTCGCGGCAATCTAAACCGTCGCAGCCGGGGGCGCGCGTTGCCTGCAAAAGATACCAGCACCCCCGGACCCACGCGGGGGAGTGCGGCGCACGTAGAGGGGTGAGGGTGGCAGTGCAACGAAGAGGTGACCACTTCGAGAATGCACCCCTGGTGGCGGGTTTGGGCAGGGCGCCACGGCGCCATCGGCGGGAACGCCAAATCATCGCCTAGCGAGGTCTGGCATCTCCCCTGAGCCTATACACTCCCGCCTCGTCGTCGTCGTCGTCGTCGTCGTCGTCGTCGTCGTCGTCGTCGTCGTCGTCGTCGTCGTCGTCGTCGTCGTCTTCGTCGTCGTCGTCGTCGTCGTCGTCGTCGTCGTCGTCGTCCGTGTTGTCGTCGTCGTCGCCGTCGCCGTCGCCGTCGCCGGCGCAGCGGGCGGGGCGGCCATGAGCAGAGCACCCTGGGGGCCGTGGCGGGAGACCCAGCGCACCGAGGTGGAGCTGCCAAGAGAGGCCGACCTGGAGGCGCGCCCGCCCCGCGCGCGGTCGCTTTGTCTGTCTGCCTGAACACTGCGTGCGTGTCTGAGGACAGCACGACCCACCCCCACCCTGCAGCCAGGATCCCCACCAGTGGGGGTGCTGGCGCAAAAAGAGTCCAGGGGTAGAAAGCTTGACCATCAACTTAAGCGCTCTGGCCCCGACGCCCCGCCCTACCCCCTGGGAAAGGGAAACTCAGCACCCGGCCACCGGGGTCCTGGCTGGGGGTGGGCGTGCTTTGGGAGGGGTTCCTGGGGGCCACAAACCTCCCCACATCCCCAGCCGGCTGGGGATGGGGCCCTGGGGGGGTCCCATCCCGGTGATCCAGGGGGGTCCTGGCTGCAGCCAGGACCCCCCTGGATCACCAGGTCGGGAGTGTGGCTCCTATCGGGGGTGGGGGTGGGTCGTGCTGTCCTCACTGACTGTCTGTCTGCCTTTGGTTTTTGGATGATTTTAGCATCGTCGCCTTTTTGTTTTCCCAACGCTCCAAGCTGGCCAAGGAGCCCGCCAAGCTCGCCCCAAGACGACCCCAGGAGGCCCCGTGACGGGCCCAAAACAGGCCAAGAGAGCCCCAAAACGGCCCACGAGGCGCATTTAGGTTTGAACTCCCCCCTCCCTCGTCCCGAATGCAGTTTTGGTTTCGGTCCTTCGAGCTGGAGTGTCCGAGCGGTGATACGTGAACGTGCGAACTTTGAATTGCGGGGGATGGGGGAGTGTTGCTCATTCGTTGTCTTCAGCCGGAGGGGGCAAGCCTTCTCAGAAGGCGGCGGGGCTTCGGAGAAGGCTTATTTAGACAGCTTTCCAGAAGGCCTCCAGTCCACGTTTGCTTCGCGTGGTTCCGGAGTGTCGTTTCAGCTTGCTGGCGCGGTATTTCCAGATGGTCGCCAGCTCAATCGTCTTGCCGCAGACTCTCAGCAACAGGTCCGTGTCGGTGAGGAGACGACTTGTATATTTCACAAGTGCCAGTGTCGGTACCCTACGATAAATGCATATTTGCCGCATTAACGATGTTCGGGCCACTGTTCTTGATTAATCTACTTGCCACAGCTCCTCTTGGTTTTGCCACATCTCAACGAGCGGGGATCGTTGGGGTCATGGTACGCGAGCGCATGGTCTTGGTGTGTGAAGAGCCACGTCGTGTGCCATGCCATGAGAGGCGTAATGCGTTTTTCGCTGTTGGGAACGTGCTCCGCGCAGCTGAACACGCTGCGTCGTCGCACCGCGGTCTTCGAGGCCCTTTTGGGGGGCTCTCGGGCCGCCCCGAGGGCCTGCCAGACCGTTGGGGCGCCGCCGAAGGCAGTGCTGGGGCCAATCAGAAGCCAGACGCCATTTCACCCCCTTCCAGGGGGGGCAGAGCAAACAGCGTGCACAAAAAGAGGTATGGAGGATCCGTTCGGGGATTCGGATATGCTTGTGGAGGCATTGGGGATGTCTTGAGAGGCGTTTCGCTTACTCTTACAAAACCGCTGGTTTGTCAATTTCTGTTAGTGTAGCTCTTCAGCGTTGTATGAGGAAATCGTCGAAGCACAATCTAGTTCAGCGGTTTTGCACAACTGCAAGACAGACACATGCTGTCTCTCTTGTTGCAACTATAGTTATCCAACCTTGCCCTAACCTTTGCTGTTTCGTGACCGCAGGAGTGCTTCTCAGCATTTCGTCTAATCGCACGCTTTTTGCGTGAGCTTGGGCACGCAGGCGCCACTTGCACAGATCAGAGCGAGGGGGTCGAACGGTCGTTCGCTGTCCCTGCTTGTTTGTTGTTGTCGTCTTCGCCGGCGACCCGCCAGCGACCCACCCGCGACCCACCCCGCGACCCACCCCGCGACCCACCCGCGACCCACCGCGACCCACCCGCGACCCACCCGTGACGCACCCGCGACCCGCACGCGATCCACCCACATTGCTTTGACGGAAATTCGGCGCCTGCGGCGGGCTCATTGTGCATTTTGCGAATAGTCGGCGCCTGCAGCGGGCTTCCTCAGCGCCTCTCAAGGACTGCCGACGACACCGCCGCCCCCTCATTCTCATCCGCAGCTGCGGAGGCCATGTAGATCTACAGTCGAGGTGCTGCAAGAAGGACCACTCCGGGCTCAGGGGGGCTCGGGTGTTCGGCCGTTCCCTAGATCCAGGTCGGGGAACCTCTTCGTGGCAGGGCCCGCCGTGGCCAGAAAGGCCCCTCCGCTCCTCATTTGGCGTTCCTTGTGGTAGCGCGTCGACTGTACCTGAGCGAGGCGGCGCGCTGCCGCTGCCGCTGGCGAGGGCCGCCGCGGCGAGGAGCAGCACGAGTAGGGGGGGCGCCCGCATCTCGCGCGCTGCTGCGCGACGGGGGGTCGCGAGCAGGGCTCGACCTCAGCTCGGCGGCGAGCCCAGGGAGGGAATGCAAGGAGGGGCTTGGCTTCTCAGAAGGCTCGGAAGGCAACCGGCGGTTCCGCTCACGCGATCCATGTCAGATCGCACACACGTCGGCTGCTTCGGGGCAGGCAGACGTCTTCGCGCTTGCCTTCGCCCTCCGCCCCAGGGACGGTCCTTGGCGGGGCCTGGGCTGCAGGGGAAACCCAGCGCCGTGTGGGGTTCCCGGGGAGGGTCGGCGACTCCAAAGGGTGCGGTTGCGCCGGGATGTGGTCTGCGATCTGCGTCGGTGCGTCGGGGCCCAGGGTGTCGGGGCCCATTGTTTGCTTGCTGTTTTGGCGGCCTTGGCTTTGCTGCATTTGTGGGTCTTCTGGGGTCACCTTGAGGGCCGCCTTGGAGCTCCCCCGATCTCCCCCGAGCCTCCAAAGGGGCTTCTGGCGGCTGCGGGGAGCAATTCCTGAAGGGTCTTTTTGCCGCCGACCCCGGGTCCCCAGGCGTCGAGAAGTCCCAGGAGGCATTGCGGAGTCTGGGCAGTCCTCGGCGAGTTCTGCGGAGTTTGGGGAGACATTGAGCGGCCAGCGGAGTCTTGCGGAACCCCTGCGAGTCTTTGAGAGGACCTGGGAAGCCCTCGCGGACTGGAGCCCTCGTCGGGTCTCGTTGGGGCACGGCGGACGCTGGGGTGTGGTTTGCGACCTGCGTCGTCGGGGCTTGGGGGGCGCCACGTGGCCCTCGTCGGGCCTCCTCGGGACACGGTGGAGAGCTTTGTCGAGGTCCTCGCCCGCCTCCCGAGGTGTTGGTTGCAAACCACACCTTTCGCAAACCACACCCTTGGTGCCGGGGAGTCCCAGGGGTCTAGACCTCTCACAAGGGGTCGGAGCAAATGGGGTCGGACGATCGCGCCGCATCGCCGATGCATCCGCGATGCGGCTCGATGTGGAGCCTGATTTTCTTCGCGCCGATGGCGCCGATGCACTGCCGAGGTTCCCGATGGGAGTCTGAGGTGGACCAGGGAAGGGTAGGCAGGTTCGAGGTGTTGTTCTTCTGTTGTTGTTTCGGCCTCCAGGGGCCGTTCTCGGGCCCCCGGGACACTGAAAACTATTCGGAGGTGGACCGATTTTGAGCGGATTTGGCCTCGTGCCCCGCTGTTCACAGATGTTCTGGGATCCGAACCATGAACTGACCCCCTGGCCGCTCCCAGGGCGTGTCGCCGCGTGGGCCATCGAGATTCGAACTAAGCGAGCAATGTGCTCCTGCGGCGCTTTTCTTCTGATTCCCGTTGATCGTCTCATTGATTTTACACACATTCGTCGCCTGCAGCTGTTTCCAGGGCCTCTTGTGGGGGCTCTAGATTCTAGATTCTCGGGTCGGGCCCAGAGCCGTTTGAGCAAATCGTGGTACGCTTCAGATGGCCGACGAGGGCCCCAGAGGCGTCAAAATGACTCCAAGACGGCGTGCCATCAGAGCACCCAATAATTATGACCCCCGCCTGAGCCAAATGAATCGAATGCCTCAGTAATCCGTTTGGCTTTGGGACATTGCGGTTCCAATTTTTCGGCCTGAGATGGCCTCAATGGGGGTCTCGGAAAAGCGGACGGGCATCGGGGCGCAGGAACCTTCAGATGGGGGGGGGGGGGGACGCGGTGCACGCGAGGTTCGGTCGCGGTTATCGGTTCTTGGCTCCGCTTGGTGCTCTCATGAAATTCAATCGGTGAATCTTGACTCGACTATGTTGCTCAGGTGCGGGAGGGCCTTGTTTGAATAGCTGCACTAGACCTGGGAGTTCCAGTGACGGAGTTGACATGATGTGCGTCGACGTATAGCAGGGGCGAAAGAGGATCGTACATGTGCATGAGCCCACGTGGGTTTCGAACGTGCGCATTGCGCGAACAATCGTGACACGAGGCCGGCCTCGCGGACCGGGGGGCCGTTTTTCATGTTCGTGGCTGGGTGCGTACGTCTTTGGCGAGCTCCTTAGTAAAGAGAGGGCGGGGGGAAGTGGCGGAGCGGAAGGAGCTGAAGGAAGAGAGGGCGGAGGAGAAAGACTGAGAGTTTCCGTGATGGAATCATGGATAAGCAGTACGTCATTGTATCGAGAGGGCGAGGGGAAGGGGAGGAGAGGAAATGAAGGAGGAGAGGGAGGAGGAGAAGGACTTCCAGAACCTCCCTCTGGCCGAGGCCTCCCGAGGGCCGCCCGGCAGCCCTCGGCAAGCCCAAACTCGCCCCAAATGCTGAGCAAACGCTGACCTGTACACCCGTGCGGGGCCGCCTCCGAGGCGCTCGCGGACCTCTGCGACCTGGTGGCGCGCGTCGACGCCAGCGAAGACCAGCCCATTTTGCAGCGCGTGGAGGTCACACTGGGCGGCGAGCCCAGGGGGGAGGTGAGCAGGGGCGGGCCTTCTCAGAAGGCTCGGAAGTCCACCGGCATTCTGACAAGTTTTCTGAGCCTTCCCCGAAGACACCGAAAACTTGTCAGAAGGCCAGAGGCCTTCTGAGCAGCCCCGCCGCCTTCTGAGGAGGCTAGCTCCTTCTCATTTCCCCTCCTGGGCGTGCCGCCGACACAAGCCCGCTGCTGTCGATGCTGATTGCCTACAGTCAAGGCGCTGCAATAGGGACAACTTTGGGCTCAGGAGGGGCTCGGGTTTTCGGGCCGCTCCTTGGGTCTAGGCAGGGGAATCTACTCGCGGCCGAGGCCGCCGTGTCCAGGAAAGCCTCTTCGTTGCTTATTTGGCGTTCCTTCTTGCAGTGCCATGCCTGTAGTTGCTCGGCTGTCCTGTTTGTACTCGCTGTCGTCGTCGCCGCAGCCGCGGTCGCGGTCGTCGGCGTCGTCGTTTTCGGTCTCATCTTCCCGACGTCGTCATGCCTAGCTGTTGTTCAAGTGGCTTGCGCCATTCCGTCGACACCCAGAGAAGCAACGATGTCCACGGGTGAGACCTTGTGCTTCGTGGCAATCGTTTGAGGGCCCATTCGGGGTCTGTCGGGTGCCCGCTGGCGGTCTCTGGGTTCCTTTTGGGGCGGAGGCCCTGTCATTGTTCGTTCGGGGGCCGCTGTCTGGCCAGCTGGCCGACCGCTGGAGCAGCTGTGTCTTCGGGAAGGCTTAGAAAACTTCCCTAAAGGCCCGAGGCCTTCCGAGCCTTCAGAGAAGGCCTCTCCCCTGTGCTCGCCTCCGAGTCTTCCCTGCCGACGTCTTCATGCTTTCTTGTTTCAAGAGGAGAAGAAGAAGAAGAAGAAGAAGAAGAAGAAGAAACGGCATAACTTAAATGTTCTGGATTCCGCGCGGATTTCTTGGATCGGCGCTGGGCCCCCCTCCCTGGCGCGCGCCGGTGGCGGAGCCGAAGGGGCGCCAGGGAGGGCCCAGCGCCGAGCGATTAATGTTTACGCTGTTTTTTGGTCCTCCATTGTTGCCTCTGGAGTCGCTGCGGCCCCTTGGGGCCTCTTTGGGGCCTCTTGGGAGCCTCGTTGGAGCCTCTTTTGGGTCTCTTGCCTTGTTGTCGTTCGTTTGGGGCCCCCCTTCCGAGCCGGCTGGCCGACCACCGGCCGCCACTGACTCCGGGCGCCAGGGAGGGGGGGCCCCGCGCCGATGCAGGAAGTCCGCGCGGAGCTCCGAGGGCTCGAGCCCCGGCAGTCCGAGTCTGAGCTCTTGCCGTTCGTGGCTCCGCTGCTGCTGTGGAGCTCGAGCCCCGACAGTCCGAGTTTGAGCCCTTTGCAGTTCGTGGCTCCGCTGCTGCCGTGCGTTCGGGGGCCGCCGCCTGGCCGGCTGGCCGACTGCCAGAGCGCAGCAGCCCAGCTCCGCTGCCGAGGCCCCAGGGCGGCGGCCGCCACGCGGGCACGAGGGAGCCTCGGGGGCCCGGCCCCGGTCGGGGTCGAGAGCAGGCCCCACTGTCTACCCCCGGCGGCGGCGACGGCGACGGCGAGGACGACGGCGATGAGGGGCAGCGCTGCGAGGCTCACGCGCGGAACCTGGCCCGCGCGGGGAGCCACCAGGGCCGCCGCGCGTTCTCGGCACGACGTCGGGGGAGGAATGGGTACCGATGTCCACGTACAACGTCCGGCTTGGCGGGGTCTCTTGTCATAGCCCGCCCCAGGATCATTGCGTCCTTCAAGATTGTCTTTGCCTTGGGCTTGTCGATCCGAGGGATGTGGATAAGTTCGAGTATGTTTATCTGCCCCCTTGCCTGCGAGGCCGTGGACAAAGGCGGCTCGTGGGTGGCGCTCGGCCGCCACTTCGCGGCGCCAGCAGCGCTGCCGGCGGCGCTGGGGGCGCAGTTCCCTCTGTCGCTGCGGCCGTTGAGGCTAGTGTGAGTCGGGAAACCAGGAGTCTGGCGTCAGAGGAGGGGAAGATACAGATACCGCTATCCTTCCCTCGTTTTCGCTTTTCTGGGTCTCTTGGGAGGCCCTGGTCGCCACAGCTGGATTCGCTACGAAATTCTTTTCGGAACGCACCCCGGGAAAGGTCCGGGAAGTAGCGGTATCAGTACCTTTTGGTTTCCCCATGGCGAGTAGCCTCCATCCACAACGGTCGAATAAGAAGAAACGGTATATGAACATACGTGTTCGACGATCCGCGCAGATCTCTCGGATTGGCGCTCGGGGGCCCTTGACGGGTTCCGCGCGCCAGTGAGAGTGGTCAAGCGCAGATCCAAGAAATCCGTCCGGACATCCAAAAGTTTATGTTTATGCAGTTTTCTTTTCTTTTGGTGCAGCATTCGCGGACCATTGAGTACTTTGGGGAGGGAGGGAGTGGGCCCCGAATGCCCCCTCCTTCGGCCTCCCCGATGTCTATCGCGCATCCTAACTGTTGTGGCGCATATGCTATTAGTGTCAGGCAGGCCCAGCGTACCCCCTTGGCTCTTTGGCTTCGAGGCTCGGGAGCTCTCACAATCATCGCCCTCCCTCAGTTCTCGCTGAGCCACCATGTTGCGGAAGGCCCGACGCGGGGAGCCACCATGTTGCGGAAGGCTCGGCGCAGAGCATCTTTACGTCGCTACCATGTTGCGGAAAGCCCAGCGAAAATCCTCCTACGTTGGGGACCCACCATGTTGCGGAAGGCCCGGCGAAAAACCTCATACGTTGGAGAACCACCATGTTGCGGAAGGCCCAGCGACGAGATTCCTACTTTGGAAGGCCACCGTGTTGCGGAAGCCCCGGCGAATAGGTTTCTGCGTTGGAGAACCGCCATGTTGCGGAAGGCCCGGCGAAAAGTTTTCTACGTTGGAGACCGACCATGTTGCGGAAGGCCTGGTGAGCATTCTTCTACTAGCCACCATGTTTTTAGAGGCCCTTTTGGTTTTTAAGGTCCAATTCTCCTAGGCCTACCTACACCTAGACTCCACCTTTAGGCGGACCGTGGGGGTAGGAGGGGAGGCCTAGAGTAGGTCTGGGGGCTGGCCTAGTGGTAGGGCTGGGGTCGGCCTAAGGCCTAGGGTAGGTCCTGGCCTAGGGGTCCTCTGCATTGGCGTCTTGTGGCCGAGTTGTGGCCAGGGAGCCAAACATGAGGCAGACCATCAGCGGATCTGTGCCACCAGTGTCCAGGCCTCACACAGGGGGTCCGAGTAGATGGGGTCGAAGGAGCGCTCCGCATCGGCGATGCCTCTGGATGTGGATCCCGCTTGGCTTCACCTCGAGGTCGCCGATGCATCCCAGACGACGACGCATCGTTGATGCATCGGCGATCTTTCGACGCCATCCGCTCAAGGGCCCCAGCTGGGAGGCCGCCAGTGGAGGGGCCACCCTCAGGCTGCAGCGGGTGACGATGAACCCTGGGCTGGTGCGCGGGAAGGCGGCCCCCGCCTTGCCGTCTGCGCCCCCGCCTGGGTCCAACAAGGGTGTTCGCGGTTCGGTCAGTTCGGTTGCGTCGCAATCGGTTGCATTCGGTCGGTTCGCTTCGGTCGGTTTTTGCGTCGTTGCTACGTCGCCGCGCCCTTCTAGGCTGCTCTCAGCCTGTCGATTCTGGTCGGTTTCGGTTTCGCTGTCAGTTCGGTCGGTTTCCGGTTTTGTTCGCCGTGCACGGCCTTGGCCACCTCTCCGTCCCTATTCAAAGTCCAAAGGCATTTTGTAGACAGTGATTTCGAAGGGGGCCTTGAATCAACATGGCTTTGGAGTCTTTCCTGGAGGGCTTCAAGAGCAGGCTCAGCAGAGTCCCGAACAGTTCCCTATTGACCCGATTGGATCCCAAGAGCGCCCCAAGATGGCCTCAGACGGCCCAACATAGCCCCAAGATACCCCAAGATGACATTAAGCACCATGACAGCCCAATATGGCTACAAGATGAGTCAGGGGCATCGTTAGGGGGGGGGGACATGCTTAGGGGATGCGTCGACCCCCAATCGCCCATTGATCGCCGCCAGGGGCCCGAAGGCCCCGCCCTGCACGGGACCGTGTGGATTCGCTGTCGGGGGCTTATCGCTGGTCTATCGGCGACGCATCGCCGATTCCGGGTTGATGCTTCCCCCCACCCCCTGAGCCAGTCCCTCCCTATCGCTCCCACTCGAGGAGGCAGGGAGGAAGGCGCTGGTACACCCGTGGCGAGCCGTGGCAGGACCGCTGCGCGGCGAGGTCTGAGGAAGCGGTGCCATGTGGTCTAGTCTGTGGCTCTCCAGAGGGGGTGGCATGTTGATGGGGTTCAATATGGGGAGGCAGGGTGAGCAGGAGGAGGAGGAGGAGGAGGAAGTGGATGAGGAGGAGGAGGAGGAAGATGGGGTATGAGATGATCAAGAGGGGCAAGCGGAGCAATAGTTGGACGGGGAATGAGGGACGAAGGGAGAGCTGGGGTAAGTAATGAGGGAACAGGGTGGAGCGGTTATAGGGAGAAGCTGAGGAAGGGAGAGAAGAGAGGGAGTGATAGGTGGAGGGGGTGGGCAGGGATAATCAGGATTATACATGTGAATTGTTTCTACGAAGTCTGGAGCTGGGATCTAAGCTTTCAGAAGGGCGTGGGGTCTGCGTTGGGCACTATCTATTTCGGCACAGACCAACACATTCAGCATAGCCTGCAGTTAGTATCAACACATAGGTCTGAACACATCATGCAGCCAATGCTCGTGCGAGTTTGACAGCATCGCCAGAAATATTCATGGTAGGAGGCAGGAGTAGTGTCGGGCACCACAGTGTTCTGCACACGTTGCGGTGCTGAATGGTGGCCAGTTTCTGGCACGCATGAACGGATCTCACAGACGGAACCCCAGGCGACCAGTGGATTGAATGAACTATCCAGGGACACCAACACAAGTTGGGAACCGCTGGTTCTGCGAAATGCGCGACAGATTGTGTCTGAACACGTGGGGCAACGAGGCAAGCAGATTTTTGTTCGCAGGGCCTGAGCGAGAACATTGTAATCGACGACGGCGTCGTTATTCACGCGGAACCTCCACTGCGAACGCGTAGATTACATTTGCGGTTTTGAATGGTTGGTTATGGTTAGATTCGGGTGGCCAGCGGTACAACAAGTTCGTGATGTGTGGTGCATGGAGAGGACAACTATTGGTTTGTGAAATTTGTGCGTCAATGGATTCACACGGCCCTGGCTGTCAGGCGATCCAATGGTGAGGCCACCACGCATTATATAACACATCAGCCGCACATACGGCAGGGTCCACAGTAATCGCAACTGTATTGGGACACCATCTCTACATGACCGCAAACGTGCTCATTCAAACGGATGGTGGAATACAATATGACGGTAATGTGGCAACGGTAATCGTGGTTGGGATTTCTCTCTTGCGTTGATGAGCAGGGCGGTGGTACCGATTGCGGTATGCAGAAGGAGGAACTTCATCTGAACGGAGAGACCGCTATGACTCAAGAGGATGCACTTGGGTTGGACAAGGTTATATTTTTGTTGGCCCACGCGTACCTCTAGCCAGTTCTGCACAAGCCCCAAACTGTTCACAAGACAAAAGGGGAGGAGGATAGGATAAGGGTGGGGAGGAGGTTGAAAAGGACGAGAGTCTGCATCTTTATCAGCGTCATGGTCTTTAGCCCGTCCCGCCATCGTGCCCAGATTGTGGGCATGAGGCGCAGCGAGGACATGATCCAGAGTACCGCGGGTTCCTTGGATCTCGGCCTCTTGGGGTTTTCGCTGGTCGACACCAGCCACGCCCAGTGCCAGTCCAGCTGCGCCTTACCTCGTCCGCGCCGACACTAGCGATGCCCGCGCGTCGACCGCGACGCATCAACACGACGCCAATTTCCGACACCAAGACATATTATTTCGCCGACGTGCACCATGTTTCTGATTCCAGTACTTCGTCGTCGCCTTTTTTAGCAGGACGAGCCAGACCCTGCATTGCGCCGGCCGCGTCAGTGCCCAGAGAAACCGAAACGGAGTCACGCTCACATACATGGTCAGCTTGGCCCCGATACATCTGCGCTATTCACGCGAATCTTCGCGTTGCCACTGGCCTCTGATTGGCGCAACCTTTCAAATTGCTTATTGTACGACTCAAAATGAGCAACCACATGCATTTAGTCGCTTCGTCGGTCACCGTCGTGTCTGCCCTTCCTCTACTCACCCCACCTGTGTCCGCAGTCATTGCTCAAGAATCGATTCCATTAGCTTTGGTATTCAGTGTACTATCCCGATCCCTATTTATCGCGATGGGTAGTCGCCCCGCACCTACATCCAACCCGCAGCCTTCCAATCCCAACGGCCGCGCCCCCTCTCACTGCAAGTACCTCAGAGTGACCCCCGACGCAAATTGACATAGTCCAGAATTTGTGTTTGCCGAGGACATCGCCCTCTACATGTGCAGAGCCTTCAAAGGGGCAACAGACCCATGCGCCACGGCACTAGTCCAGAGCGCAGTTGGCAGCTTACTGCCAAATGCGCAGCCTCAACGAGACCTCGCCCTACCGACGACGACCCTTCAGCAAACCCAGACGTCCCCCACTACTTTGCCATCAACGCCTTAGACCAGCTAGATCCAGCGTTTGCTGAGTCTATCCGCACCGTCATTTCCCCATGCCAAATACACGCTGACCCTGACCACCTTACACATACATACGTGCACGTCGCACTACAGCTGGGGACGGTTTGGTCGCCAGTGCCGACCCAGGAAGGTTGGGCAGCCTCTACCGCCGTCCACGGCATTCTAGGCTGTCTGCCCGACCTTGATGACACCCACCGCGCTGCATTTGAGACAACACTCAAAGAAGCACGTGCTGCATGGATCGATTTTACCGCGACCGACAGCACCGACGACCATTTGCCATGAGATCTTGTATATCACAATACATCAACCATATGCTCTATATGTATGTATGCATGTATGCATGTATGCATGTATGCATGTATGCATGTATGCATGTATGCATGTATGTATGTATGTATGTATGTATGGTTTCATGGTTGTATGGTTGTATGGTTGTATGTCTGTATGTATGTATGTATGTATGTATGTATGTATGTATGTATGTGTGTGTGTATGTGTGTATGTGTGTATGTTTGTATATATGTATGTATGTATGTGTGTATGTGTGTATGTGCGTGTGTATGTGTATATGTATGTATGTATAAATACATGTGTATATATACATATATATGTGTGTGTGGCCGCGCAGGCGGTCCATTAGCGACCATGGAAGATGATGCCAGGACCGACCCTGTCTACAAACGTAACTGAACCTTCGCCTAAACCTACCGAGAGATGATCGACACGCAGACAACCACGAAGTACGATTGAAGTATGTTTGCCGCCTTCCTGAAGGCCTATCTCAAGCCAACGCCGTTCAATTACGACGAACATGGATCAATGTATGCCGTTTACGCTCAGCACTTGCCACCAGGATTAGGCATCGTCATCGAGGATTTGGGCGCTACTCTTTGCTCAACCACCTTACCAACATACCTCGTGCCAACTGATGTGCCAAAGTACGCCCCAGGTGGGCCGCTTGTATCATTGACCCAGCCTGCGCGCATTCTACCCCGCCCGACGCCAACAACGCGATCCCATTTGTTGAGCACAAGCCCGCACCACAAGGAATCGGGCACTTGATCAACAACCGCCGATGTGTCATTCAGCGACCCGAACTCGGATGCCAGCATCCCAAGTAGCACCGATGTATGTGCCCAAAAGCTATACCAACCCCTGACTCCCCCCCCCCCACCATCGCAAACACACGGGTGACCACGCTGTTGCACCAATCTACGGTTGCTTCTGCCAGCCGCCACCCAAAGTCACCGCACGCGAGTTCTCAGCCTTGCTGACGACGTTAACGCCGATGGTGACGACGATGACGATGATGATGATGACGATGATGCTGATGATCACGTTGATGTGAATGATACTGATGGTCATGATGATGATGATGATGATGATGGTGGTGGTGGTGGTGGTGGTGGTGGTGGTAGTGGTGGTGGTGTGGTGGTGATGGTGGTGATGATGGTGATGGTGATTGTGTGGATGATAAGGATGGTGATGAGGATGAGGATGAGGATGATGATTATAGTTCCGATGATGACGATCATGGTGATGTTGATGATGGCAGTGGTGTTGATGATAATGACGGTATTGATGATGATGATGATGATGCGGTTGATCAGGAAATGGTGATGATGGTAGTTTGGATGATGATGACGATGTCGAAGATGATGACGATGATGATGGTGATGGTGGTGGTGGTGGAAATGGTGAGGTTATGATGATGGTGATTGGATGGATGGATGGATGGATGGATGGATGGATGGATGGATGGATGGATGGATGATGATGATGATGATGATGATGATGATGATGATGATGATGATGGCGATGATAAGGCTTCTGTGTGATTGTGATGATGTCGACGATGATGATGATGACGATGACGATGGTGATGCCGATGAGGATCATGACGATGAGGGTGATGGTGGTGACGATGATGATAATGGTAACGGTGTTGATGCTTATGGTTTTCCTGCTAATGGTGATGATGACGATGATGATGAGTATGATGATCATGATGATGGCGACGATGACGGTGATGATGAGGATGGTGATGATAATGATGATAATGATCAGGATGATAAAATGTTTGCAAACACGACGATGATGACGATGACTACGATCGTCATCTTCGTCGTCGGTCGTCCGTCGTCGTCGTCGTCGTCGTCGTAGTCGTAGTCGTAGTCATAGATGTAGTCGTCGTCGTCGTAGTCGTCATTGTCGTTCTCGTCGTCGTCGCCGTCGTCGACGTTCGTCTTCCGTGATCGTCGTCGTCGTCGTTGTCGTGTCGTCCGCGTCGTCGTCGTAGTCGTCGGTCGCTCGCCGTCGTCGTCGTCCATTTGTCATCGTCGTCGTCGTCCTCGTCGTCGTCGTCGTCCTCGTCGTCCGTCGTCGTCGTCGTCGTTGTTGTCGGCGTCTTTCGTCGTCTTTCATCTATTGTCCATCGTTGTCGCCGTCATCGTCGTTTTTTTCTGTCCTCGTCGTCATGGTCTTCGTCTTCCGGTGTTCGTCGTCGTCCGTCGTCGTCGTCGTGTCGTCGTCATCATCGTAGTCGTCGTCGTCGTTTGTCGTCCGTCGTTCGTCGGCCGGCGTCGTCTTCGTCGTGTCGTCCGTCGTCATCGTCGTCGTCGTCGTCGTCGTCGGTCGTCCCCGTCGTCTCTCGTTGTCGTCCGCTTGCCGTCGTCGTCGTCGTCGTCGTCATCCGTCTTTAGTCGTCCGTCGTTCGTCGTCGCCCTTTTTCGTCGTCGTGTCATCCGTGCTCCGTCGCCATCGTCGTCCTCGTCGTCGTTGGTCGTCCCCGTCGCCGTCCATCGCCGTCGTCGTCCACTTGTCGTCGTCGTCGTCGTCATCACCGTCGTCGTCGTCGTCGTCGTCGTCGTCGTCGTCGTCGTCGTCGTCGTTATCCGTCGCCCATCGTCCATCATCCGCGTCGTCACCGTCGTTTGTCGTCGTTGGTCGTCCGTCGTCCGTCGTCCATCGTCGTGGTCTTCGTCTTCTGGTGTTCGTCGTCGTCGTCCGTCGTCCGTCGTCGTCGTTTTGTCGTCGTAGACGTCGTCGTCGTAGACGTCGTCGTCGTCGTTCGTCGCTCGTCGTCCGTCGTTCGTCGTTCGTCGTCGTCATCGTTGTTTGCTGGTGGCGAGTGGGGTGGCATCGAGCCCCCCCTTGGACCAAGGGGGTGTTGGGGGGGGAAGGGGGGAGCGAGTTCCCCCGAGTTTGTCCAGGCTCGCCGAATGTCTGGGGGAGGGGACCGTAGCAGGAGGCATGCACTGGCACACTCGGAATGGTACATGTTCATATGTGTTTTGTATTGTGTATCGAGGCTCGATGCTCGATCTTCGAGGCCTGATCCTTGATTCTCGAGCCGCGAGCCTGGAGCCCCGATTCTTGATTCTCGCCTTCAAGCCTCTATTCTCGATCCTCGAGCCTCGATCCTTGATCCTCGAGCCCCGATTCCTGATTCTCGAGCTTCAAGCCTCTATCCTCGATCCTTGATCCTCGAGCTCCTATCCTCGGTTCTCGAGCCTAGATCCTCGATCCTCGGCGACAGAGGCCAGCGCTGAGCGCCCGCTGTTCGCCGCTCGCGGTCGTCGTCGTCGTCGTCGTCGCCGTCGGCGTCGTCGTCGTCGCCTTCCCGCCGGCAGGCGCGGACGGAGGCCGGGGCCCCCGGCGCGCTGTCCGTGGACCTGCAGCTGCTGGCGGATGCCTTCGGCCTGGGACGGACGGGCAGCTCCCTGGCGCAGGCCCTGGAGGCCCTCGGGGTGGGGCGCCGGCGGCCAGCTCGAGCTCTGGCCTCCCTGGGCCCTGTGCGCTCTCTCTCTCTCTCTCTGACAGAGAGCGCGACAGACTGTCGCGCTCTCTAGTTTTTTTGTTTCTCTCTCTCTCTCTCTTTTGTTCTCTCTCTCTCTCTCTCTCTCTCTTTGGCCCTGTGCGCTCTCTCTTCTCTCTCTTTCTCTCTCCATTTTTTTTTTGTTTTTTTTTTGTTGTTCTCTCTCTCTCTCTCTCTCGACGCCGACGAAGACGACGATCAGTTGCCGCAGAACTCCGGCTGGGCCCCCCGCGGCGGTCGCACGGGCGGCCAGGGAGCGCGCGCGGCAGGTGGCGCCTGCTTTGCGAGTAGGAGGTTTGGATGGGCGATCGGCACCGCCCAGGGAGGCGAGCGCAGACGCTCGCTCGCTTGGCACCGCCCAATCGAGGGGCGTCGTTTTGGCCCTGTGATCGGCCACGCTCTGCTGGTGCCTCCCATCGGTGGCGAGCGAGGTGGGGAAGGTTCGGGTTCGATGTTCGCGGTTTCCCACCCTCGGGATGCGTTGCAGCGGCTGCGCCTCGCCGAGAGCCGAGAGCGTTCCCAGGATTTCCGGGGGGGCCCGGATCGTCCCGAACGGCCGCCAGAGACCCGAGAGCTGACCTGAAAAATAACATCGATGGCGCGCCCGGGGGGGAAGTGAGAGGGAGGAAGCCTTCTCAGAAGGCGGCGGGGCTCTTAGGGGAAGGCTTAGAGAGCTTCTCAGAAGGCCCGAGGCCTCCTGAGCCTTCTGAGAAGGCCCGCCCCTTCTCACTTCCACCTCGGGCTGGCCGCCGATCCCAGGAACTCACGGAAGTACGGACAGATGCGTGGTTGCCAATGCGCAGGGCGGGGAGTACGAAGTTGTGTCTGCAAAGCACGTCGTTGGACCAATTTCTACCCTGTAAGACGTAGCTTAGAATAATAGATGCGTTTAGATGCGATCGCGCCCAGGCGCAGGCGAGAAGCTCATCGTATCTATTTTTCTGCAACGACGACAATCTCTCTCTCTCTCTCTCTCTCTATATATATATATATATACATTATTTAGATGCGCGCCCCCAGCCTGCGCGGGAGCGCCGCCGTATCTAAGCGTGATTAGTTTTCAAGCATATCTAAAAGTTTGGGACCGTAATTCTTCCTCTTCAAGAAAACATATATGATATATGCTCGTATCCATTTTCAAAAAATGGCAGTGCCGCGCCGTATCGATTCGTATATAATTCTTGTCAGAACGAATGCTGGTTGCTGTGCTCCCGGCGCGAACAAAATCCATGTTATTGGCCGAAGCAATGAACAACGGGATGGGTATAGTGGGAAGCCGTATCGATGATGAGTGAGGAGGCGATCGACGACGACAAAACCGACGAGGAGTAGGATGGAATAACAACGACGAGACGAAATTCAGCAGATAATTGGGTCGGAACAGAGAACCGTAGGATGGGGAGAGCAGAGAGGAGGAGGAGGAGGAGGAGGAGGAGGAGGAGGAGGAGGAGGAGGAGGAGGAGGAGGAGGCGGAGGCGGAGGAGGAGGAGGAGGAGGAGGAGGAGGAGGAGGAGGCGGAGGAGCGGAGGAGGCGGAGGCGGAGAGGAGGAGGAGGAGGAGGAGGAGGAGGAGGAGGAGGAGGAGGCGGAGGAGGCGGAGGAGGCGGAGGCGGAGGAGGAGGAGGAGGAGGAGGAGGAGGAGGAGGAGGAGGAGGGAGGGAGGAAGAGGGGGAAAGAGGGGGAAGAGGGGGAAGAGGGGGAAGAGGGGGGAGGGGGAGGGGGAGGGGAGGGGAGGGGGAGGGGGGAGGGGGAGGGGGAGGAGGAGGAGGAGGAGGAGGAGGAGGAGGAGAGGAGGAGGAGGAGGAGGAGAGGAGGAGGAGGAGGAGGAGGAGGAGCTGGCGGAGGAGGAGGAGGAGTGATTCGGACGATGAGCGCGGACGAGGAGGAGGAGGAGGAGGAGGAGGAGGAGGAGGGGGAGCAGGACGCGCGGCGAGGAAGCAAGAGGGGCGAGGTGGAGTTGGAGGGAGCGTCAGAAGGATAACATGAGGGAGGGGGAGTAAGGACGGGGATGAAGTCGATCAGCGATTGAAGAAAATGCTCTTCTGCTTCGTCCTCCTCGTTCTCATGATCGTTCGGCTCGCCCGCCGTCCATGATTTCCCACTACACATCCTCCTCTTCCTACTCCTCCTCCTCCTCCTCCTCCTTCTCCTCATCCTCATCATCATCATCGTCGTCCTGACTGGCATGTGTCTTGTCTTCCCTGTTCGTGGTCATTGAGCGGCCGAGGCCTGGCAGTGGAGACATGGCGCCGTATCTAGTCGGATCTATGTTTGGTAGACATGTTTTCCAGCGATGGGCGCCATATTGAACCGTATCTAAAGTTATATAAACATATATATATACACACACGCATTAGAAAATTAACCCGTATCTAAAGTGTTGAATAAAACATGCCTCCCGTATCTCAAAACTAAGAAGTCGTATCTAAACGTATTTAAGTTTGAAACATCTACGTTCGCATTTATGTGTTGCACGAAAGTGCTGTAATCCACATATTATTCAGAGGGGAATTTTAGATACCATGCGGTCCTTCCGAACGCAGCTGCCGCCGGGGGAATGAGCAACCAACATAGATGTTTGTATGTGTCTTCCAAGGTAGGAGCTCGCGGACACGCCCACAATCGCGTAGTTGTTGCCGCCCAGGGAGAGAGCAGTAGTTTGGGCGCGCATGCGTCGGACCGCACTCCGCTGGCCCCCCAAGAGGCTCACGAGAGCGCCAACAGTTGCGCAGCTGGCACCGCTCAGGGAGGAAAGTGATGGTTCAGACGACGCCCCGCTGGGGAAACCTCCCAGGAGCTCGCGACAGCGCCGACAGTTGCGCAGGTACGTAGCAATGCCCAGGATGGGAAATAATGATATTTTGGGCACGAGCAAGACCTAGAGGAAGAAACACTGCGTAGACATGAACGTTCTCCGCGCCGATTTCTTGGATCCGTGCTGCACCCCCTTCCTGGCGGGCGGAACGCGCTGAGGGGCAGCGCCAGAGGCGCCTTCAAGGGGGCCCAACGTAGATCTAAGAAATCCGATCGGACCGTCGAACATTTATGTTTATGCCGTTTTGTGTTCTTCGAAAGATCGCACTCACCTGGACCTCTCATGAACTCACGGATTGCCGACGCTTGCTCGATCGGCACCGCCCAGGGAGGCGAGTATTAGCTCGGGTCTACAAAGGACAGCGCTCCAACGCGGCAATGACACAATGACCGACCAAATCGAATCGACCAAACGCAACCGACTGCGACGCAACCGAACCTACCGAACGGCAAACACACTTTCGTGGGGCGACATTCTACCGAACCCCGGGGAGGCTCACGTAAGTGCCGACAGCTGCGTGGTTGGCACCACCCAGGTAGCGCGAGTTTTATTTTTGGGCGAGCATAAATATTCTGAGGTCCGCGCGTATTTCTCTGATTTGGTGACAGCCTACCGTTTCTTCCGGACGATTTCTTCCAGAGGAGTTCTTTTGGGCGACTTCTTCCGAAGGTGAGTTCTTCCGAGGTGACTTCGTCCAGGCGATTTCTTTTGGAAGAGTTCTTCCGGGCAGTTTCTTCCGATGGTAATTTCTTTTGGGGCGTTTTTTTTCCGAACCCCCTCTTCCGGGCAACCTCTTCTGGTTGATTTCTTCCAGAGAGATTTTTTCGAGGCGACTTCGTTTGGGCGAATTCGTCCGGTGAGTTTCTTGCGGGTTTTTTTCTGGCGGCGAATTGAGAGGCGATTTTTTGGCGAGTTCGTCTTGGTATTGTCTCCCAATTTTTGTTTTCCTCCCCCGCTTCCTCCCCTCACCGTCATCGGAATGAATGTCTAGACCAAGAAGATGAACACAGAATAGCACAAACACAGAAATTCGAAGGCCCTCGCCGATCCGAGATCAAGGGTACCCTTGTGTCCTGTGTGTTCGCGATCCATGCCTGCCATATTCCTGTGGCAGTGTGGCCCTCGGAACTCGGAAGGGTTTTGTGTCCACTCGCATGCTCTCCCCGAGCAACCTCGACTGTGTCATTCGCTCTTGACTTTCTGCCCCCATCCCCCCTCCCTCCCTTGGGCGCTCCTTCCGCAGCCTCCCCCCCAGAGGCTCACCAGGGAAGGGCCGACTGCATGGGCGCCAGCGGCGAGGCTGCTGGGATGGGAATTGGAATGGAGAAGGTCTGGAGTGTAGCAGCCAGGAACGGGGGGGAAGACTGACAAAAGAACATTTTGGGAAGCAGCAGGACGAAAAGGGGGGGCGGGGGAGTGGAGGAGAATTGGGAATGATGAGGGAGGAGGAAGTAGAGCGTGTCGGGTGGAGCCTGCAACAAATTCGTGGGCATGAGGAGGGTGAACGATTGGAGTGGCGAAGGCTGGGGCGGGAGCATGGGATCCGCATGCTGGCGGCGGGCCCAACTATATGCGAGTGGGACGAAGGAGAGGGGGGGCTCACTTTGAAGACGAACGATCTGCCTAAACATAACTTGTCAGATGTCCGCGCGGATTTCTCGGATCGGCGCTGGCCCCTTTGGCGGCGCATCTGGCGCCGCCCTTGGCGCGCCCCGCGCAGCAGGGAGGGGGCTTCGGCGCGGATCCAAAAAACCAGCGCTGACCTCCAGACACGCATGTTTTTGCAGTTTGTTGTTCTTTTTAATGTGGGACGAAGGCGGGACAGATCCTTGTTTTGACCGCACAGCGCGTGAAGCATGTGCCGAAATGGGCAGGGGGGCGCATGTGGACCCAACCACTGAGGCCGTAGGAGGGAATCGTGATGGGACCACGGAACTTGTGAGTGGTGTGCATGCGATCCCAAACCCATGTCGGGGTAACAACAGACGGGGTAACAGGAAATGGCCGGTTCGAGACAACAAACGCGCATTTTGTTGCAGTGCAGTTTTTGTTTTCCGCTTTCGCGTCCAATGCAGCCAGCACCTGCCACATGCCGTCTGCGTTGAACAATTTCGGCTGCTGCACTGTAACTTTTTGACTTGGTCTCTCTGTTACCCAGTCTGTGGGGTTTGTTTGCAGTTTTCCCGCATTGAGTTGCAGGGAAAATGCAATGCAGTTTTTTCGCCTTGCGGAAAGACTACCGTGCAGTTTTCCCAGAAATGGCGTATGCCCAGGGTTCTCTTTTATTGGTTTACCCCTGGAGATGGGCCGGCGAATTTCTTTTGCGATAAATAATGAGGTCGCGAAGGGCAGGCGAATTAAAATTTGAGGATGTCTCGAGCGAAACGCTTGTTTTTCAGAATTTGTTGAGGATGTCTCGAGCGAAACGCTTGTTTTGTGTTAGAGTTTGTCCTCTCCTGGGGACCTGAATTCTGAGGATCTCTCAAGTGGATTGCTTGTTTTCACGTGCCCAGGTCTTGAGGATGTCTCGAGCGAGACGCTTGGTTTCACGCCTCCAGGTGGCCCAGACAGATGTCTAGCATGAGGATTTGTTGAGGATGTCTCGAACCAGAGGCTTGTTTTCACGTGTCCAGGTCGCCCAGGCGGATGTCTAGCATGAGGATGTGTCGAGGAAGTCTCGATCGAGACGCTTGTTTGCACGTGTCCAGGTTGCCCAGGCGGATGCCTAGCATGAGGATGTGTTGAGAATGTCTCGAGAGATACGCTTGTTTTCACGTGTCCAGGTCGCCCAGGCACAGCACAGCCCTCGGCACGGTACATCAATATCGATACCCTTAGCATTGCAGCCTGGCATGTTGCCTGGCACGTTCCGCGGAGCGTCCCGTGGCGAGTCCCCCTGGCACGTCGCGCGGTGCATGTCCATTGGCACGTTCCGTAGTGCGTCCCCTCGGTACGTCCCGCGGTGCGTCCCCGTGGCACGTCCCCTGGCACGTCGTCTGGCGCGTCCCTTGGGACGTTCCGCGGCGCGTCCTCCTGGCATGTCCCCTTGTCCATTAGCTCTGGGGCAGCTACTATGTGCTGAGGCAGCTCGAGCTTAAGATCCAGATCGGTTCGTTCAGGACTCGGGTGCAAAGGAGGACTCGATCCACAACGCTATAGAGCACAATCGCGGCATGGCACATTGCAGTTCAGCACAGCGCAGCACAGCACAGCCCTCGGCGCGGTACATCAAGATCGATGCACTCAGCATTGCAACCTGGCACGTTCCGTGGCGCGTCCTGTGGCGAGTCCCCCTGGCACGTCGCGCGGCGCGTCTCCTGGCACGTCCACTGGCACGTCCATTGGCACGTTCCGTAACGCGTCCTCTCGGCATGTCCCGCGGTGCGTCTTCGTGGCACGTCCCTTGGCACGTCGCCTGGCGCGTCCCTTGGGACGTTCCGCGGCGCGTCCTCCTGGCATGTCCCCTTGTCCATTAGCTCTGGGGCAGCTACTATGTGCTGAGGCAGCTCGAGCTTAAGATCCAGATCAGTTCGGTCAGGACTCGGGTGCAAAGGAGGACTCGATCCACAACGCTATAGAGCACAATCGCGGCATGGCACATCGCAGTTCAGCGCAGCCCAGCACAGCACAGCCCTCGGCACCTTACATCAAAATCGATACATTCAGCATTGCACTTGCCCGTCGCCCAATCAGGTGTCTTTGAAACGTTGCCATGCCTTACATTTCTATATTCCTTTCTGGGTTCGTGGGTCGATCATGTTTGTTCCGGCCGTTGTTGTTTCTCGGTCTGGATCCTACGGTGGGTCTCTTACCCCGTTTAGGCGTTATTTGTTTTAGTTTTCCAGCGCGCCAATTTGGGCCTTGGGTGGAGCCCGTCATGCGGCCACGAAACATGTGACTTCTATGCCGTAATAGTTATCATGATTATTTCATCGCCGTGTTCGCCGCCGCCGCCATCGCATGAGACATGGTGGTAACTGCGACTGTCCGCAGCCACGTAACGGTTACGACTAGGTGGGGAAAGGGGCGCGCCTTCGGCTGGCCGGTTCCCCTTCACTACGCATATCTACTTGTACGCCTCCGCTTCACGGACTTATATCTTAGCCATGCCGAATCTTTTGATCCAGCCTATTGAGGAGGTATCCCATGACGTTACTAGAACCAGAGAATGTACGAATCATTATGTGGGATCTTTCATTCTCTGGCGAATCGTTGGCTATCCGCCGAAAGTTCTGGACCAGCTCATGATAACGACTTGGCAGACCAGCCGCGACGTAATCTTCTTTTCATGTCGCCGATTCGTGTGCCTTTGGTTCTTTTGCAACATGAAGATCCCCAGAGTTAGAAGACAACAGTCTCTGTTCAAACATTGAGCCCGAAGCCTTCGGGCAAAAAATTAACACCTCCCAGGAGCGAGTGTCGTGCTATTCGCGCTGGCAGGCGGAGATCCCACGTGCGACCCGCCGACAGATCTCCTCTGTGGCGTCGTCGTCGTCGCCGGTCGTCGTCGTCGTCGTCGTCGTCGTCGTCGTCGTCGTCGCCCGTCGTCGTCGTCGTCGTCGTCGTCGTCGTCGTCGTCGCCGTCGCCGTCGCCGGTCGTCGGCCCCTCCGCGCCCCGACCTCTTCGCCCAAGCGCGGGGCCCCCCGCCGCCCAGGTGGTGCTGCCGCTGTCGCAGGCGCACCAGGAGCCGCCCGCGGGGCGAGGGTCCTCCTCCTCCTCCTCCTCCTCCTCCTCCTCCTCCTCCTCCTTTGGCTGCGAGAAGAGGTTGTGCAGGCTGTGCTCGAGGACAGCCGTGCCCTCCTGCGGCTTCAGGGGCCCGCCGTGGTAGTTGAAGGTGTAGGTGCGCTTCGCGGGGTCAATGCGGAACTCGCTGACGTTGGTTCATGGTCTCGTCGTTGAAGAGGTGGGTGATTCGCTCGTCCTCCAGCATGATTTCTATGCGGTCATCGTCGGCGTCGATGAAGGTGACAGCCGTGATCTGCACGGTCTCGTGGTGGGCCTCTGGCTGGCTCTCGCCTCCGTGTCGTCGACCTTTCCCTCGACCCCAGGCCGGGCCTTGCGCTGAAGGCGGGAGCGCCGGTAGCAGAGGCCCCTCTGCGAGGCAGGTGGCCCCTTCGGGCTTCTCGGCCGTCGAGGGCGCTGTCGTTGGCGAAGGGGTGGGCGGCGTCGTCGCTGTGGTGCCCGTCGAGGCTGGCGGAGTAGTTGTGCCTGGAGTCGCCGTCGTAGGCGCTGTGGTCGCCGAGAAGGTTTCAGTTGGCCGCGCCGAGGGTGCGGCCGAGGAGGGCGGCGCTGCGGCTGCGCTTTCGAGGCCTTCACGGATGCGCTTCTGCTGCTGAGGATTTCGTGGCGGATCCAGCCGTAGGGACAGGAGTCAGGGGAGGGGTCCTTGGCGACATAGCCCGAAGGGCCAGGTGAAGGGGGCCGCCAGGGGAGTCCCAAGGGGAGTACCCAACTTACCGTTCTTTTCGGGGCAATTGCCTGGGTCTACTCTGGGATGGAGCGCCAAAGGGGGCAGATCCTCGAACTCCTTTCGGTAGCCGTACTGGCTGTACAACTGGTACGTAGTCGTGGTAGCTGGCGTAGCCGTACTGTTTGTCGTACTGGAAGCCGTGTTGGTAGCCGTACGTGCTGTCGTTCTTTACATACTCATGCCTTCAGGTATGTTCCAGGATGTTCGTGATGAGGTTGGGGATACATTCTGGCTCCTTTCTGTTGAGGTTGCTGGTCTCTTGCATGCTATGCAGGTTGTCGCTGAAGCTGAGGTGGTCGTCAGGCTCCGGCGGCGGGCGCGTCGTCTGTGGCGGGCTGCGCCCGACGAGGACCGTTACGATGTCCTCGGCGTCTGGTGCGAGTCCTCTGCGCACTGCGGAGGCGAGTCGGCGCATGACCGAAAATCCGGGTTGTTGTGCTTCTTGCTGAAGGGGACGATGAACTCCGCGCGCTTGTGGGTCTCCGCGATTGCGGGGTAAAGCTCGGCGGCAAGCCGGTGATCTCTTTGCACACGCTGGCCTCAAAGTGTTTGGGGACGACGTTGGCGCTGCGGTGGGTACCTTGGTCGTGGGCTCCACGCCGTTGGCCATCGCGCGAGGCCTGCGGGCGCCGCGCATTAGCCATCCGCCCCCGCTCAGGCCCCCCCACCCCTTTGGAAGCCAGGCGGGGGGAGCCCCCCCGCGAGGGACAGCGGCGTCCTCCTCCTCCTTCTCCTTCTCCTCCTGTCTGCGTTGAGCGGACATTCAGTGCTATGCTTGCTGCGTCCTGTCAGTGCGAGAGGCCTCAAGGTGTATCATTTGCGCCGACTT